TGGCCTCAAGTTGCACCAGGGGAGGTTTAGATTGGATGTATGGAAAAATGTCTTTACTGAAAGAGTGGTTAAACATTGGAACAAGCTGCCCAGGGAAGTGGTTGAGTCCCCATCCCTGGAGGTATTTAAAAGACGTGTAGATGAGGCCCTTAGGGACATGGTGTAGTGGGTGGTGGTGTTAGGTCGATGTTTGGACTTGATGATCTTAGAGGTCTTTTCCAACCTCAATGATTCTATGATTCTATGATTCTAAGATTGAAGATCTGACTGTCATTAAGAAGGGAAGAAAAGAAGCAAGGAAGGAAGCTCAGATTCTATAGGAGACAGGTAAAAGAAACTTATACACAGGTATTTACAAGTTGCTGAGGAAAGGCAGAAAAAAGTGAGCTACAAGGTTTTTTTTGCAAAGGCTGTATTTTGGTTCTTCTACAAGCAAACAAACTAATTTGGCCCCAGGGTGGTTTAATCAGTGTTTGGATATCAACACTATGTTTCTGATGCAATCTAATTAGCGTTAGGGTAGGATTAAGAGGAGCTGTCTTAGTTAACTGAATATATAGCAATGACAGGCTGGATTTCATCCTACACTAAACAAAGGTTAAGATGGCCCTCAGGTACTTGGAAAAGATGATTTTTGGGTGAACACTATGTATTTAAAAAAAACTAATTAAGCATCAAGGAGCCACTATCACTGTAAAGTTTTACATTCTCTTTGAACAAACACTTGAACCAACAGAAAATGGTAACTTTTCTCCCTCTGAGCATATATTGCATACGTATTTTGGCTGAATGCTTGAAACCTTGCCGATTTCCCAGTTCTCAGACCTGCCCTGAGAAAACAGCAAGCATATGCTCATATTCATTTCAAAGTACCTCCTGGTTTTGAATAGCTCCATTTTTTGCTTTCTAAGTTGACCTCTTAATAGACAATTTAAAAAAACAAGACAGAAATAAGCAGAAATTTTTTAAAATTTAGATAGAAAATACTTTCCTGGATACTTTTTCTGCTCTTTCCACCTCTTTGAAAACTGCCAAAGAGCACCTACTACTGAAGAAAAGAAAAAAGAAGGTATAAAAAGCTGCATTTTCATTCTTTTTGAGCTAATGAGGAGTAAACTAAAGGAACATGATAGGAACGTTCACAGACCTGGCAAGCTGTGGTTCGGTTCCCCTTTCTGGGTATACCATTTTGCTAACAGTGAAGAGAAGTAGCTTTGACAGAACAAAATGTTATCCTTACAAAAAGGGTTCAAGAATTGGTGTCAGGAGTAACAGTTTTGGGAATGGTAGGGAGAGGTAGGCTCTAGCTAGGCAGTAAAGCTGAAGAGAAGAGTCTCCGCTGGAAAGCAGTAGGCCAGATTGCAGTACCCCAGCTACATGTCAATGTATACTAGACATTCTAGGGAAAACAAATGTTGTAGCATATAAGGCTCTTTTACTGCTCATTTAATTCACCTGGGCTTGTGGTTTCCATTCTTTTAATCTCCAAAATGGAAGAAAATGGAAATAGACAACTGAAAACATAAAGCTCTTTCCCTTGAACAAATATTACAAAAAGAACCATTTTTGACTACACGTTGCTGGTAGCTATCATTATGTGCTTTATTAAATGATGACTGAAAAAACCATTTTCCTTGTTATTTCCTTGATTCTTATTCTTCTTCTGTTGGGTTATATGATTTATATCAAATGGTATGTATTCATTTTCAGCTATTTGGAGTTACTATGTTGTTCTGTCTAATGCCTGAACAAATAAAATGGCCTTTGTTCTGCTATCTTGTAAGAATAAAGACTACCTTAGAACATGTTCATACCTATTGAGGAAATAAATTAATGCAAACAGGCCAGGCCAGGCAGAGAAAATAATTCTCTTCCAAGCTGTACTCTCTTTTCCAGTAGCTATTTAAACTTGGATTTTAAAAATAAAGGGTTTGTTTATTTGAGAACAATTATATGACCGTTTTGAATTACAACACTTTCACATTTTTCATGTGGCCAAAAAGATTTATTACACAAAGAAAGGCCATAGAAAGATGGTGGAATTAAATACTGTATTTGCATATTGCTACCAATACGCTAGATGCTTTTCAGACAGCTAGGATATCAAAGTCCTTGTTCTGAAGAGCATTCAGTTCAAATAAACATATAAATGCATTGTAAGACGTACAAAGAAAGATTTGATCCTCCTTCATTTTATGATTTCCAATAGAGAAAGGGAGTCAAATTTTACATCAGAATATGACAAAAGCATCCTAACTCAGCTGAAAGATTTCATTAGCACTCTCATAAGTAAAGAGGATGGATTTATGCTGCAGCAAACAAAAAAATTAATACAGATTTTATGAGCACAATCTCTACATGTTGAGTCTTTTTTGTGTGCTAGAGATGCAATTTTGCTGTACTTAAATCCTCCATGTCTTTTATTTAAATTATGTGGAATATGAGCTGTCTCGATACTGTCCAAATACATGAGCTAATCTTTCCATTTTCCTGTGAAAAACTAAGGGTGATTTTACAATTTCTACATAACGTCATCCATGTTTTTGCAAAGAATTAAATCCTTCTCCTCTTAGAGTAGCAAAAGAATTTGAAAATCATGATGGGAAATACTGTACTTAAAACATCTTTTTAAACTACTCCAAAACTTCCATTGTATTATTAATGACCCATACCTATAGACCTGCTCATAGTTACACAGAAACCCATTTTAAATTCTGTAATAAAATTGGATAAAAATACATATCAGATGTTCTGTTTTAATGTTGAATACTGAATATCTGTATTGTATGTTCTTTTTAGCTGCCTGAAGCCCGTTTTTTCCTCTACTTAATGCGCTTTTTTTGTTTAGGTGTAATCTGATTAATTTTATTGCATGAGATGGTTTCATATGAACCTCTCTTTCCCCCCAAGTTGTTCTACACATCCTCCCTCCCTTATTCCATGCAATTCTTTCAAGTATTCTTGGCAAACTTTTGGTTTTGGAGGATGGAAACGGAAGGAAAAATGGCCATGCAGGGAGTTACCATTCAGCTCACCTGTATTCATATCAATGTAGTTATAAATTGACTAATAGATTGCCAAAAGTTAGGTTCAATTATGCTAATAAGCTTGACTGAAACTGGCTGCCAGGTTCAAAAACTCTGTTTGGACAGAGGGAGAGAGACTGGCAGTCCAACCACAAAAGCAAAATTATTTTAGGAAAGCAGGGAAATAAAAGTGCCCAAGTTTGGCTCAGATCCATGTGTTTTTTAAAATCTTCATTTGCATCTGCTCAGCAGAAATGGATTACATTGCATCAAATAGCTTTCTAGAGAGTGTTCCTATCTTCTCCATGGCAGCAAGCACCAATCAGAGATTCTTGTTGTTACTGGCTATTAGAGTCTATTGTGGTGCTAGGCACAAAAGCCAGGGGTAGGCAGAGTCTCTCTTACGATTTTTCTTGTTCAAGAAAAACGTGGATCTGCAGCTTGAGAAGGGGGAAAGCCCAGGGAGCCAAGACAAGGACATAAGAAAAGGAGAAGATAATAGACTTAGAAGCAGAACGACTTTGAAGTGACTGAACAGGGAATTCACATTTGGAGAATTGTGGAGACTAAGAGATACATGAAGAAAGTAAAGATTTAGAGTCAAGCACTAAGAACCTCTAAATTGCCAGATTTTAGTTGCACATGAAATACACTTCCACCTACACATGCATTATGATAGTCTATGTTCAAAGCATAGCTCACATTAAAATTAGTTGCAGCTTTTGTTATTTAGCCTTTTGGTAAACTCCAAATGTCAATAAATTTAAGTCCAGGTTTTGTTACCAAATGTTACCAAAAAAAAGTCAGGCATAATGGTTACCAAGAAGAAGAAAGGCATAATTACAGACCATCTAAAAATGGTAGATTGAAATGATGGGACCAGCCCTAGAAATGCTTCAGCAACAACAGACAATCCACTTCTGTATGCTGGATTCAATTGATTCTAGCCTGGTAGCATCCCTTCTCTTCCTTCAGTTCCCTGCCTCATTCTTTATACTTTTTATGTATGCTATGTACACAACACATGCAACAAATAAATCAGAGGAATTTACAGGCAACTCAATTCTAAAGCCTTGAATCATTCCAAAGAAAGTATATTCCATCCACTGAGTAAACCAGCCTTATGCTTGTATTGAAATAATTTTTTTGTTGTAATACGTAGAATTCGTTTTCATTTTTGAGACAACACAGTGACAATACTGGGTGTTTTTTTAAAAGGTGAAAGGATTTGTAGTTACTGCAGAAGCCAAAAATTCTCCATGTTGATGAAGATGCCCTTATTCCTAGGTGAATGCCTGCCTTTTTAAAAAAATCCTGTACGCATATTAGCACTAGTATGTGCATCTACAGATTCACAGGCTAGCTTGTCTCCTCATTTACATATCATAAAACTACTGGTTGCGGAGGAATTATTCCAGATTTATATATGCATAGATGAGAAGCAAAAATCTGCCCATATGTTTTAATTTGGATTGATTTGCTAAAAGATTAACTAGATAAATCGTCTTAATAAAATACTTAAACAATATTAGGTTCAAAGTCTGCTGGTCTGACCTTCATGACAACGGATTTCAGAGAATACCACCACCCATGCCAAGTGTACCAAACAATCCCGTTGTCCGTCTTTGCAGTATAGGGGCCTTTGTAGTACAAACCGTTCAAGTTGGCAGAGTGACACCTGGTGGAAAAGTAAAGGAAAACATAAATAAGGCCTCCTGTCGAAAAGTTGCAAGCGCTTGTAGTTTGTGTCCCAGTCAAAAATTTTGCCGTGTTGGTAACAGCCCAGTTTGACAGCTGCAAAAATTTGCATTTGTCGACTTCAGTGTGCCTAAAAAATAAGTTTAATTAGAGCACAACTGCTCTTAGCTTCTTTGAAACAAAAGTTCTTTTTGTTCTTTCCACACATTTTCTGACATTACTAGCTCTCTGAGTTTTGCCTGCTAATCTGTTTCAGTGGAGAATTATTCCAGAGTTGTTCAGGTCACGTGTGGCAGCAGGGCATACACCAAGCAAAACTGGGTAAGAAATACTGTGCTGCTTTTTGTTGTTCCAGAGTAGGCCCTTGTAAGTTTTACAGTTACCCCAAATGGTGTTTCGTATGACAAAACCTGAATACCACCATCAGTTGCCTAGTCAGCTGTGGACTTCTATTTACAAATAGATTAAATCTGACAGCTTATTAAACATATGTATGCCAATTCACTGGATCATCGGAGCTGGCATTTTATTTGACTATATAAAGAACATTCTTTTTTTTGGTTCTTTAACACACTGAAGCAGAAATGCTGTTACAGCTTATTAAATACAGTGGTTGAACAAACAAACAAACACACACACACACACCCCAGCAAAACCCAAAAGGCTTGAATAGGTACCAGCACAACCTTGATACTCATTTGGTTTCTACAAGAAAGAAGTTTAGATCCTTATGTGACCATATGGAGAGCAAAACGGTTGTTTCTTCTGCAGCACATTGTAATGAATCAGCTTGGTTTATCTGCCAATTCAGTATTTTGTTGTAAGTGCTGTTAATATCTAGCTGTCGAACACCATGATGGATTTCAAAAGCAGACTTCAGAAAATATGCAAACAGAAAACAGTCCAAGTGAACCTTATGGGTATTATTACTGGCAAATCTTAGTCTCTTTGGCTTTGCTTACACTTCATTAACAACTGTTTTTGAGAACTGAAATAAAAACTGTGATAAAAGCCTCATAGGAAAATTCTCATAAATATATGCTTATTCATTGCTTAGAATTTTTAAGCTCAATTTTGGTAATGTGTTGGCTGAAATCTTATAAACTGCAGATATCAAAAGTGACTTTGTTTTTGAGAATGACAAATTTGTATCAGAGCTGATAAAATCTTTCTAGTCATACAAATTCTGCGTTGAGCAGGCACTCTGTCTACTTTGAATCAAAACACAGATTTCATTAGAAGGATCGTAATTGCTGAAATAACTGGACATACTAAAGAAACAACTGGCATGTGATTACTGATATGATATTCTGAAGCAACATTCATTATTCACAAGTCAATAAACACCTTAAAGTTAGCCTATGTTCCTCCTTTCTTTCCGATAGGCTAATTTTTAAAGTAAAAAACCGCACTGCAATAGTTTCAAAAGTACAGTCAACTCTCAATTATCTCTGGACATTTTATCTGAATTATATATTAACTGTATGACAGATGCGGAGAGATGGAGTTGGTTCCCTGAAGAACTGTTTGAATTCTGCCTGGACTCACTGACTCCAATACAGCCCCACATGGATGTAGCTGTCTCCAAGATGATTGGTGATGCAGGAAGCCTGAGTTACTGAGATCTGTGGCCCCAACTTGGTGCCTGGCAGATCCACTGTGATCATCCATGAATGGTGTAACTAAAACTGGGAGTCCTGGGGGGAGAATAAGCTCATGTCCAACTAGACTTGTTAGCTCTGCTTTTACCAGTTATGAACCTACTGACCTTTGCAATGCCCTGGATGCAGGAAAGCTTATGACCTGGGTGTAGTACCAGAGTGAACCCAGCTCCATGGATTTGTGTCCAAGCTGAAAATATCTCCTAAAGCTTTGCTTACAAAAGAATACAGAGGCCATTTTCTGCAGAAGTCCAGGATAACAAGTGCTGAGCTAGAGCAAGACCAGTGGCTTTAAACTAGATATGAGCTACTTCCATGTGGCCTCACTTGTGTCACATCCCTTGGTATTCACATTATCTGGGCGTTTCTGTATTTCATTAGCCCAGATAGCATAGAGCTGTCCATAAAAAATTCCTTCATACCTGGGAGCTCCTATACAAACCAGCCAAGAACACTAATTCCTTCTATGTTTGCTAATCTGTGCATGAAAAATACATGTTCTGAGTGCTTTCCTTTCTCTGCCAGTCCTGTTCTTTTGGGTAGGATTTAAGGATACTGAAGTTTTCTAGTATTTTGCAGTATTCAGTTTTATGTTAGGCTTAACATAAAAAAAGTCAGTAGCAAGGCAGTGGAATAACACTACTAGTAACTCATTTTCATTATCCAGATAGACTGCCACTTTAAGAGCATGAGCTACACAGCCATAATAGGAACTAGTCTGGTAGGAGTCAGCTATCTTTAGTAGTTATGTAGCACCAACTACAAGGTATTAATAACTGTCAAGTTCTGCCGTACAGCTACTTTTGCAAAGAGGTCATTCTTTTGTCCAGACCAATCCAATATTAAAAAAAAAAGTTTTTAAAAGACAAAAAATGTATGCGCTTGACTAAAAGTGATTGGTGATTCACTCTTAATGAACTCCATGGCATGGTATCAGAGTTTTATGCTACTTGAGGTCTAGATATTCCTCTAAACCCACAAAAGTTCTGATTTCATGGGAAAAGGATCTCCAACACAGTTGGCTTTCCCTTTTATATCTTAGCTTTCGTGAGAACTGCAAAAAACCTTTGTCTACATGTGATTTTTTTCCGTATGTCTCAAACATTCTTTCGACCCACTAGCCATGCAAATATATTAAAATGTATTAAAATAAGTAATTAATTGTGAAACATTGAGTTAATAGCTACATCATATCAGCTAAGCTGGTCACAGACTACTTATGGAAACAGAATTTGGAAAATGAGGAGTTAAAAAAAGAGGAACAAAGGATGACAAAACAGAGAGAAACAATGGAATTGATCCAGCCTGGCAGCTCTTGCCAAGTGAACTGAGATCACAGTGAGAGAGTAGTATGCTTCCCTGAGTTGTATTTTAAACCTCTCTAGATTGCATAGTTTCTCTTCATGGCTATATTTATCTCATTAATTAAGGGAAATAACATAGCTGCCTATACAGACAGTGCTAAGGCTACCAGTTTTATCCTTTCTTTTTGAATTGGTATTTTGTATCTAAGTAGGATTTTAAAATTCTTTCACTGAACCGTATTTAAAAAGATCTTCCTCTCAGTCCAGCCATGCTCACTGACAGAAACTGAGTGGACACATTCCCATCTTGATATAGAAGGAATAACAGGAGTGAGATGCTGTGAACTGAGGTGAAAAAAGTGAGGCTTAATAACCTGGCACTAGCTTAACTTATCAGATATTCTGCAGTACTGCCACATCTGGTCTAGTGCAACGCAGGAGAAATGCAAGAATGAAGTACAACAGGGATACATCTGCAAACTCTACATGACCTACTTGTGTAAAAACTGGTTACCTTAAAGGGGCAGAATTATCTTCTCCTTACTATCTGATAACAAAGACAACCAAAGCCTATGGCGAATACCATTACCACAGACCAGCTTGAGCTGTGCGGTAGGTGCTGTCCCTTCTAAGGTGAGTCTCAGTCTTACAGCACTGAGATCTCTGGTAGGGGTCAAGGGCAGATTTCAAATATAATAAACAATGCCAATCCTATCTTCTACCATATGTTATTATTGTCTGAATACACATGGAGCAGAATAGTTGACAATACTGATATAAAATCAACACACCTGTTAAACCACCAGCCAGCCTTTTCCTCTGCGGCACAGTTCCCTTCATAGTTGTCATTGTCCCTGTCTCTAGTACTGAATTTCATTCCTCGATGATCAGCCCACCATTTTACTTCAGGATGAAATCCACCAGTAAGGGAATCACCAGCTGTGCCAGAGTATTCACCACAGCTCATCTCATAAGAATGCTAACGAAAAATGTGAAGAAAGGGGGGGAAAAAAAAAGTAATCCAATATGTCTTTAACCTTTAGCATGTCAGAGAGTGAAACCACAGAGAGGAAACTAATCTGTTACATTTGCTACTATTTTTATGCTCAGAAATGTCATGCCACTTAAACACTGTGTACTAGATAATGAAGGGGTGTAAAGATGCTTACCAGGGGTAAAATTTGTCAATAACCTTATGTATAAATGACATAATAAAAACAATATTAGAGTTAGTTTGCAGTACATATTAACAAACCAGAACATCATGTACCATTATTGTTGGTAATATCAACAAAAATAGAAAAACTGCTTTTATCCATGGCTGCTAAACAAAATGATTCATACCTCTTACAGAAAGTGTGAAATTGATGTATCAATGTAAACCACTATTATTACATATTTGAAAATTCCAAGCATTTGTAAGAAATAAAATATGATAAGGTTCTACACAAACCTTTATGAAAATTAGGGAATTTGTATGTTTATTGTCTGTCTACAGAATCCACATTTTCATTAAAACCTCTAGTCATTATTTAATATTTTATTACCTCTTCACCTGCAACTCTGAATCTTGCATATTGTGCAAAACGCCGTTCTCCTTCAAAATCAGTTAGATCAATTCTTAAAGTATAGTTCCCTTAAGAAACAACAACACAAATTATTTTGGTTAAACTAGCCTATCTCACTACTTTTCAGAACAGACTATTATATAGTAGAAGATTAAAATACTAATTATGTTTTCATCATGAATCTTATCTGTATCATCACAGCATATTTTATGGGTTTTTATCTTCTTTCTTTATGCATATTGAAGCATATCTTGCTATTCTTTGTCTTTATTCACCTGATTAAGCTCAGAAAATTTTAGAATTATTCCAATACAGATTTTCAAGTGTAGACAAAAAAAATCTTAAAAAAAATGGCCTTATGGGCTTTATATTTTAGTAAGGTATTTGAGGTGGTAATGAAAGGATAGTGAGAATCAATCAATAAGCATACACCTGAGAAAATCATATTTTTATACTCTGAAGATAAAAGAGTTAAATTAGGACCACATCCTGGTGGCATTGATTTCCATACAAATTAGCTGGCTAGGTCAATGGGTAAGGTTTGTATGTGCAGCATTCTACAGCAAAGCAGAAGTTATCTTAGATTGAGTGACTATTAGAAGGATGGAAATAGCTTTCTAAGACTAGCCTAATCAAGAGGACAGGCCTAGATTTACCTTCATGTAATAGCCTATGCAGCCATGTAAAGCCCTGACTAAATGAATTGGTACAGCATACTACCTGACTCTAGACTGTTAGTGATGCTGTGAAATGGGTAGAGACAATTATTTTAAGGTGTAGTCCTGTCTACAGTTCCCTGTTTTGCAGGTGCTCCCTGCATGCCATTGGCCCAATGACAGTTTTGAACCTTTTGTTAGAAAACATATATTCAAATGTGTTTTGTCCTGAAACTTGGAGAAGTCCATGCAGACTAACAACAGAACGCAGGATTTATGCTAACAAAAAGGGTAACAAAAAACGGCCCTGAAACAGCAAAGAAACAGAAACAAGAGAAGACTATTGTTACAATACAAATCTTACCTTGATTAGTCAAATAATGAAGTTTTTTATTTCCAAGCCAATATTCGCCATTTGTCAGAACAAAATTTCCAAAGCCTTCTTCATAGTCAGTCCAGACTCTGAAAAGAGTATAAACTACTAATTTATCAAAAAAGCAAGTTTGCTTGGATGTTTATTTTATCATACAATCATAGACCACGGAATAATTCAAATTGGAAGGAACCTCACAAAGTAATCTAGTCCAATGTCCTGCTCCAAGCAGGGTCAGCCATGAGATCAGACCAGGTTGCTCAGGGCTTGTCCAGTCAGGTCTTGAAAACCTCCAAGGATGGTGACTGCACATCCTCTTTGGGCAACCTGCTGACTATTCTCACAGTGAGAAAGTTTTTCCTTATATCCAGTCTGAACCTCTCTTGTTTCAACTTACGTATGTCGCCTCTCATCCTCCCACCAGACACCACTGTGAAGAGCCTGTTTACTCAACAAGCTCTCAAACAGCTCTGTTTTCTTAGTGACCACCTTGTAGGTACAGGCAGGCTACTATTAGGTTCTGCTGAAGCCACCTCTTCTGCAAGCTGAACAAACCTTAGCCTGTCCTCATAGGGCAAGTGGTCCAGCCCTTGATCATCTTGGTAGTCCCCTGCTAAACTCTTTGTAGGTTCATTATATATGGGAACATTAATAAAAACATATTTTAGACTTTATTATCTTATTTACATTGTTGATCTTCACAGAATTATTTCTATTTTTCACATGTTAAAGGCTGAATCCCACACTACACTGGTCACTGAATCCCAGTCCAAAGAGTAGTCCTAAGAGGTACATTCAAAGTGGTTTAAGATTAACAGATTTTAAGACCAGAAGAAAACACATTAGCTCCAATCTGGTATAGCACAAGTTACCCAAAGTGAAAACATTTTTCCTAGTTAAATCCAGGGGATCTAAGTGAATGTGTAGGTGTATTGCAAGCATTGTTTCTTTATTTTCTGTGATTTGATTAAGCTGTGAAACTCCTGCAGCTGGATATATAATTTTGTAAATTGAGGTATTAGCTAGCTGTTTCCAGCTGTGACTTATTGACTGATTCTAACAATTTTTGAACTCATATTGGTGCATAGTTTCAAGAATTAATATGTAGTCTGAAAGCACTGAATCTTTTCCCTGTCTACAGTGGCTTTGAAACTCTTTCTCAGTGGTTTTGGTTTCATGACATGTTCTAATGGGGACAAAAGTATGATCTATTTCCTTGATGAGAAGCAAACATACTTCATTTCCTTGAGGAGAAGCAACCATACTTCAACCAATGGGTGAAAGTATTAGGCTGTAGACAGGCAGTCATAAGAGAAAGCAGCCTCTGTGACTTAAGTAGCTGGTAGTCTCTAGCAAGGGAGAAGAATGGGTGGTGTGTGGTAGTAACAATTGTAAACTGCTACAGATTGCTTCTGCAGCTTGTCTGAGCATATGTTATAAAATAAGAATAGCAAAGTTTTCTTAGCTGGATTGCAGTTTTTCATTCTCTCTGGGGATTGCTTCTCTATTTCATAAGGGTACTGTAAAGTTAGTTACAGGAATTGTAAGAGGTAAGACACAAATCCACAGAAGGATGCAGATACGTGAAAAGCAAATTGGGCAAAGCGGAGGTTCTAAAAACCTTCTTCTTTCTTCTAATATCTGTAAATATTTGTGGTTTTTTAAATTCAAGTCTCACAGCACCAAAAATTTCACTTCTAGACATTTCCCAAAAAATGCTTGAGTCTTGGCAAAGGCAAGGGGATTAGGTGTCCACAAATCAAGTTCTCACCCATCTTATCTTTCCTGGAGGCATTTTACCATGAGCTACAGATTACTCTGTGGTGGGTTTCTCTCATATTTGTTTGCTGATGGTATTTCAGTTCAAGCAGATTGCTTACATTTATACTTTTTTAGATTTTTACTATTTGCAAAAGACAAGGTAGTCCTTTACTTGTCATTAAGAGTTTTTGCTCCAACAATTGTTAATGCATGTGACATTGAAGTGTTGTCATGTAAAATGCACAAGCTGTCAGAGAAAGACTAGAAGAGATGTCTCCCAGAATAACAACATACTCATATAATTCTAAAGTTATAGATTTAACTTAGCTCCATCTGGTTTAATGTTTCTCCCCTTTGTTTCCAATTTTAATGACTAAGTCTAGTACCTACCTATCAAAATTCTGGCTGCCATCAGAACGTCTCTGAAAAACAGTCCAACCACCCCCTTCAGACATGTCACAGAAGGCAAGGAATTCAGTAGGACTCTGGATAGGTTTCATCTTATAAAATCCACTTTGCTTATGGCCGTCATTGTAGATTTCTGCACAATCTGTTCACAAAACATTCATTGGACACAGTTTTTTCAGTCCTATACTTACTGGCAAAATCAGAAATCAAGGCAATAATAGAAGTCAAGTCACGTCATATGAGAGTCACATATGAAGCAGGCTAATACAAAGGAAACACCTCTGCAAACAAGTTTTTATTACTTTTGGGCATTTTCTTGTATTTGTGTTGCTTTAAAACTTTATTGAGCTGTAACTATTTTGACATTTCTTTAAAAGAATCTTTCTTCCACCATAAAATACTATCATTTTGTTTTCATTTGACTAGCAAAATAACTCCTCTGGTTTAAGTGGTGTCACTTTTAATTTACAACGATATAATCCACATTAGAACCCTGTTACAATCATATAACTTCTCTACATATAAAACACACAGCAACATTTAAAAACAAACATGTACTTCTATGTCCAGAAAGTCCACAGGAGAACTGCCAAAAACAAGGAGTATGGAACCACCAGTGTTAGAAAAAGGAAACAATTGCTGGACCTGATACTCTTGCCCCTTGTACCAAACAGGAGCAAAAATATATAGAAGACTACCCCCAAAAAGTGCAATGTATGTGTAAAATGATACCACTTCGGCTTGATACCATTTACAGTCTGGTCTCCATTGGTGTTAGTGGCTAATCAGCATTTACAGCAATGACAAAATTCAGAGCTCATGAAAATATAACAGCAATGTAATTGTATAATCTTATCTTTTTTCCTCTAGGAGTTAAGAAATGAAAGGAGTTCTTTGTTTATATGTAATCTACCATCAAGCAGTCATACAGGAAAGACGTATAATTTTCAACATTTCTGTTTTTCCTGGCGAAGGTAGGGCTGATTAACTGTAAGATATTCCCTGAAACATTTATGAACATGTTGGCTGAACCTTCCAGGCCAGTTTGGAACTTTCTGAACTATTACATTTCTTCTCAGTGAAGGTGTCAGTGAAGATTAGACATAGAAAATAAACACTTTATACTGAAAACAAATAGCTATGCCAGGATTTGAATAAACTCTAATAGAAAACATGATTTAAATAACAGCTAAGTTGTCTTTCTAGAGAATGTTTCACTGGCATATAGAAAATAGCTTTTCTTGTCCATTATTTTCTTAGTAGGTTAGCAAAACACTTAAGCATATTTTAATTTTTAGCATGTGTATATAGTGTGGAATTTCTCCCTCACTATCTAACCCCAAATTATCCAGCTCTGTTGACATTCAAATGCTACAGCAGTTTGAATGAAATAATGCAGTATCAATAGGGAAAAGCATTTTCCAGGCTATAAGGAAAGTGAAAAAATAATGGGAAAAAAAAATCATCAGAAACCGGAACAACTTCGATCTGTTATTTAGAATCACATTTTAAGAAAATAAACTGGGACATAGGCTGAAAAAGGACAAATACCTTTCAGCTAAATGTGGTTTTAATAATCTTTTCCAGTAACAAATGAGTGCCATAATAATGGGAAAAAAAAATCATCAGAAACCGCAACTTCGATGATCTGTTATTTAGAATCACATTTTAAGAAAATAAACTGGGACATAGGCTGAGAAAGGACAAATACCTTTCAGCTAAATGTGGTTTTAATAATCTTTTCCAGTAACAAATGAGTCAGCCATAATAATAAAAAAAAGTATTCCAGGATGCTTAATACATAAATAAATATACAGCTAAAATTTAAAGTCAGGCTTACAACTGCTTTTAATTTCATTTTAATGGTGCTTTATTATATTTGATGCCTTGTTATGTTGTGATTTCTTCCAGCAGCATAAACACTACAAGTATATTCAAACAAGGCCATTAAAATTTATAGAAGTTTAGACTGTCTAGCACTGGACAACTAGAAACGAACACCGTCCAAGAATCAGACCCCCAGATTGTATTTTCAATCCAACTATTGGTTTGGATGGTGTTTTGTTATTTTAAGAGTTTGGGCCTCACTCCAGCTACTACAGGCTAACACACTTAGCCTTCTTCCACTGCAGAGGGACCGGATCACCACCAGAATGCTGGTGAGATTACAAAAACAACTTAAAACCAGTATTTTAGAAGCTGTGATGTCCTGAGCTGAACCTAACTCGGTCAAAATGGTGTAACACACAGAATATTATTAAAGTGAGACGCAGATGTCATTATGCCAGGATTATGCATGTAAATATGGATGTCTCAGGCACTTTACAGATTGGAACAGAGTCGGTGTGTGCTTGTAACCCATGCGACCCTGTGAATGTGTGAATGTGAACTGACCCTGTGGGTTAGAACTTTTTGAGATTAGTCAAAGAAGGGTGCTCAGAAATCTGTAACTGCTTATTAATGTTTTGTGAATGTCTATTATTGGCTTTTACCTGTTGTATTGCTGATATATTTATTCTGAATTTATTGTTCACGGATTGTTTTTTAATTATATGCTATTAATAAACCAATAAACTGCTTCAATCCTGATTTGATTTATACCGTGTGACATGAACAATTTTTCCCTGCGGCAGCAGGCCTAGGTAAAAGCTGAACACTGTGTTTTAAACAAGCAATTTTCTGTGAGCTTTTAAAACAATAAGTCAATGGGCCCAATTGTGCTAAAGCTTCTGGGTATTATTACAATGAATGGAAATGAAAAGAATAGCTTCGTTTCTAACCTGAATACTGTCTTTTTCCTCCCAAGTCAATGACACTGTTCTCATCTCCTCTGTCACTGTACTGAATCTCTTTCTTCTCTAAAAGCTGTATAATTTTTAACTGATGCTGTTTCACACGATGTTCCAGAAGCCTCACCTGGCCCTGAAGTCGTATCTGCTCTTGAAAACAGTTCTGTAGATCCTAGAGAGAAAAACATACCTTATTGTAAAATCAACAATTTTTTGTCATGTTTAACATGTGACACAAAAAAACAACCAAACAAACCATAAATAAAATTTAACTTGAATAAAACATTTTGGTCACAATTTCCTACAGACACTATGTTGACTTCCACCTCAATTGCTACCTCTATTTAAAATTATTTCATATATTACAGAGTGTGCAAACATATACCTGCTTTGCAAAGAGACCTTCTCTTTAGTGGCTATAACTACCAGCTCCCACTGCAAACATGCAGAGGGGACTTTAGGGAAAAACACTGTAGTACAGACCCTATCATAAAGATTGCTTATTCTCTATCACCTGCCATGTACAGAGATTTACTATCCAGTGAGGCCTGCTACTAACATTGTGAAGGTTCTAAAATTTCAGAGTTTTAAAGAAATACAGTCCGCACTGATATGTTTTCAACTTCATTGTGCATTTTTCAAATGCTTTTAGATTACATACTTCTTATGATAAGAATCTTAACATTGCCAACATAAATATTGTAAAGTTTCAAGCTCATTTTTGGCATGCTAAAATAAATAGTCCCTAAGAAGCTGTGAATATGCATGAAAAATAAAAGTTAAAAACTTAAAGTCAATATTGTGCTGTGACTTGTACACTTAATTTTGCCATGCAGAGTGAGTGAGAAATGTGGTGATTCTGATATGGTGATACCTAGCACTCATTTCACCCTGGTGCAAATATGGATATGTGACAAGAAAGCTGGAATAACCGTTCCAAATTCTGACATGCTGAATGTATGCAGAGCAATAAATAATTGTTTTTAGATTAATGACTATGGTAAAATAGCCAAAGTGAACTGAACCCAATCTAGGGAGCTTAAATTAAACCAGCCTGTACAGTTCCAAATAGATATTAAACAAATTTGATTTCAACATGGGGAAAAAAGCCTTTGGGGTTTTATGATACATTTTACAAACGTGACATAAGGTTTTGCATCAGTAACATTGTGTCTGCAATTTCATATGAGCAAACAGAGTTTAGTAGCTATGGTGCTTGCACAAGAGCACAACTAGCACTGTAAAAGCAAAATCAGAGGGCAACCTTTTGGACATCTGATATGCAAGATCAAATATGCAGTAGTTCTAAATTTGTGCAACCTTATCATAGGGCAACATTATTTACATGAGCTAAGGAGGTAGACCTGTAACATTTGTCATCCGTATGGAAGAGCTGGTATCTCAGAACATTGCCCTGTCACATTGAACTATAGAGAGATCTGAACGAGCATACTGATGTGCACCTCCAGTGGCATCCGCATACTTTCATTTGTATCAGGCTCAGGCTTCACCTATTTTCCATGAAAAGTCCCACCAAAACGTTTCTTGTCACTTTCTTGCTGCAATGATTTTTTTTGTTTTCTTCTATCTGAAAAGCTGATACCATTCTGTAAGTTTCTACGCAGCACAAACAGTTCTGGTTAGACTGACTTCCTTGCAATACCATTCACCACAACTCCAAGAACAGACTTCGTGAACTAACAGTATTAATTAGAATCTGCATTTTATGAGTCTACTACATGCAGATTTTTTTCATAATTAATTTGAGGTACTAGTTAAAAAGCAGAGGAACTTCTGCTACTGTCAAGGAACATCCATATAAATCATGTCATGACTATGACCTGTTATTTCTGATAGAAATAAATGTTGCAGGTGTCCAGGCGCCATTCCTTTTTCACTAGAGAGGATGCAATTAACTTTCAACAAATAGACAAATGAACTAGAGACATTTCAAGAGAGTATTTGAAGATAAAAGAATCTATGTCCACGAGTTCAGTAAAATGGTTCCTAGCCATCATGTTCCATTTGCCTGCAATGTTTAGTCACACTGAAAAATTTGATGATCAGCCATGCTGACTTTGCAGAACAATCCTGAATATAGGTCTCCGCTTTAAGTATTTCTGAAGTGTATCAGATGCTTGCTTTAATTCATACTTAACTGCAATCTAATATACGTAGTGGAATAAAAGAATGGGGAATATACATGTGGCAGGACTAGGCAGTTTGTCAGTGACCTGTTCGAGCGCAAAAGGTTCACCTGCCTCTCTGGGTTAGGGCTGCCAATGTCAGGCTGCTTTGACAGCAGGTGTGTCTGCAGGCTCCAACTGTCTGCTTGCTACCAGGTCCTGAGAAGCCATTAAGATGCTTGACCACAAGGAGGAGCTGTAAAGTGAGAGGCATCTTTACCAAACACTAAAATTTTTAGAAGAATAAACAAAGCAGCCAATGACCTAATATCCCTAGAGTCCCATCTTATTTAAGAATACTCCCTTGAAAATCTTTTTCAGTTGTTGACAGCTATATCATACCCTCCTTTTCTTCTAGCAGGAAACGAGAGAAGAAAATACTTAAAATATGTGCACAGAGACAAACTTGCTACGGTGGCTTAGAGGGATGTTATTTGACCATAAGCACTGGTTAATGTGTGACATATTGCATATTACAAAGAAAGGATGCACTATTATGCAGTCTTTCCAGGGTGGTTGTCTCAACTTGTTATCTGCAGCTTTATATAAACCCTTCACAAAAACTGAGTTGAACTGGGAAATTCAGAAGAGACTTCCTTGACAGCAAATTCTCAGACTAGTCCCAAGTACATACAGAAAATTACGGAGAACCGGAGAGCTGCATAGGTGGGTTGAGAAAGAGTGAATAAATAATAAAAAAAATATATTTCCAGGCTCACCCTGACAAGCTAACGCTAACTATAGAAGTAAAGCTGTCAAAAAAAACATGTTAACAGTCAGACCAAATATTAATCCTAATCACATTAAGTTAAGAGTGATGAAGGAGCCACCATGCCACACTTACCAGTTTTACTGCAGTGTTTGTTTATTGAGAAGGTTAGCCTGTATCAGCCTGAACTCAGTACTCGCAACCTTGGAGAACGTGGTAAAATACCTTAGGAAAGACCTGGGTGATCCTGGAAACAGTGGCCCCTGTCGCCAGGCCCTTGCAATTTCATAGGCAAGACTTCAGGTGGGTAGTCTCTTTAACAGGTGGCAAGGTCTGAGCCATGAAGAGCCACTTTCAGTTCTGGACAGAGGAGTCTGCGCATTTAAGGACAGGCAGCTAAGTGTGTTTCTTTCACACATTTCACTAGGGAAAATGCATCTATCACTTCACCTATTCATACCCCCTGTCGCCAGGCCCTTGCAATTTCATAGGCAAGACTTCAGGTGGGTAGTCTCTTTAACAGGTGGCAAGGTCTGAGCCATGAAGAGCCACTTTCAGTTCTGGACAGAGGAGTCTGCGCATTTAAGGACAGGCAGCTAAGTGTGTTTCTTTCACACATTTCACTAGGGAAAATGCATCTATCACTTCACCTATTCATTCATCATTAGAATGCTAAAAGCCATTCTCCTACTGTGATTAAATCATATAGTAAAAGTACAGAACTTCTCAAAAATATTATCGTACCTTAGAAAAACTTGGTATCTAAATTCAGTATGACACTACTTCATATATCACCATAAAAGGTTCTTTCCTTTGAATCAAATTAAACACAAGTCTGCAGCAGGCTATGTCTCTAAGTATTATTCTTAACTTTGCATTTTAAATTGATCTTTTCTTTTTGTTTACTTAAAAATTGTGAATTATTTCATTAAAATGAAAAACTAACACCGAGCTGATTGTTATTTGCTTTACAGACAATACAATCATTATGGGGTGAACAGTAATATATCTACATTACACATAGCAATTTCCTGATGAAAAGGATTTAAGCTCACAGTGCTGGTAAATAGTAAGTGGCAATCAAGAAATCACCAGCCATGCTGAATAACTACACCATAAGAAAGAAATGACTGAGCAGAAAGAGTTTTGAAAGTAACATACATATGAAAAGTACTGGTATCTGATACTTTGCTTTCTCTCCCTGACTCCAGCCTCCTCATTGACGTCTCTTTCTGTCAACTCCAGACAAATCCCATCATACTTTGCTGCTGTACAGCAAAACCACAATTCTCATATTTGGAATTCCACACCTATTTTTCCCATGGGACAATCACAAGTTAGCTGTGTAACTTCAGGGTGGATCAATATGGCTTTTAGATCTTTTTCGATCTTTTAGATCTTTTTAGATTTTTTGACCAGACTGCTCTTTTAATGTACTACTACACTTTTTCACAGGATAACTCTTTTAAAATCATTGGGATTAAACCAGTGCACAGCTAGAGTAATATAGAAGCAAAATGTAACCTAGGGTTATAAGAGTCAGCAGCTATAACATATTGCTATTTCTTTTGTTAGATATGGACTGAAGTTAAACTATTACAATGTTGAAATACTCAAAAAAAATGTGAATTTGATTGCGCCTGTCTCCAGTGGACAGTAGTGCCCACTGATTGAAACCAGACTGAACATAACCTGTTCTGTCTGTTTCAGTGAAGCAACTGTTTGTGCTACACATTGAGAAGCAATTATCTAACAACTGCTGACAGCTCTGCTCTTGGACATGTGGTCCCATATTTAACCAGCTGCTGCAATTAATGTGCATTCACAATATTTATTTCATTACTGTGTGAATTATTTAGCAGCTAGTGACCTTCCATTAAAATTGATGCTATAAATTAGACTCAGAATACTTTATGAAAACTATAAAAATACAAAATTTTTACTCGGTGTTATTTCCTATATTTTTAGAATTTAAATGAGCTCCAAAAAATCTCTATTGAGATTAGTGTTTTAATGAGATTAAAATGTGAAAACTTAGAGATAAATTTCAGAATGTTCCCAGTTTTTAGTCACAGGGTCAGCTAAAGCCCGTAATATTCCAAATGAAAAATCAACAGAAAGCAGACGTGTTTCATTGTAATGCCTTTTTCTCAGTAGGCTTCTATAAAAATTAGCAATATTTTTCTCCACTGAGCAGAAGTGATTACAGAGGCAGATCCTTCCTGTTCTGCCCCTGTAGAAGTACTTATCTGAACAAAAGGCTTCCGTAAGATAATGTAAGCCACAAACAATGATGCTCACCTAGTTGTAAATTCAGCAGCCACCAAAAAGGATAGAAACATTCTTCATCCTGAGTGTCAATGACCAGAAATACTACTGCTGCAGCCACCGCTTTAGGAGTTCCTGGGTTTTGCCTTTCTATAAGTATGCTGCTCAAAACTAAAGGTGTTATTCTGAGTTAGCATTACCCCTGAATGGTAGTATAACTGTCTTGTGTGCCTTCTGTACAATGTGCCTGTTAATGCATCGTATGATACCTTTTTTAGCAAAGGTATCCTATCACCTCCTATTTCATGTCGGATCCAGTAACAAACTGACTGGATTACCTTCTTCAGTGCTATTGCCCAGTCATTTACCCTCCATTGTATATTTATGCATTTGTTTCCTCTTTTCTTATCAGAAACTTGTCCCCACTGAACATCACTTGAGGTTATTTCCCCAGTCTTTCAGTTTTGTTCTGAATTCTAATCTTTTCCATCAAAGGCTCTGCCATCCCATGTAGCTGAGAGACATTGTAAGCACCATGGAGGACAAGGTATGAAATATTTAGAAGGAACTCTATAGCCAAATTTAATTACTAGAACTTACAGAGCTGCCAATGGCATCCATCAAGCTAGCTGCAAGGACAAAATCAATCATTATCAAAATCTTCATCCTTTGGAAGCTGTGAAGTAGAAGAACAAATTAAATACTAGTTAACTTAAACATTAAAACTAAATATTTACACCTGACATCTTAAATTTTATTTAGAAGGAACTCTATAGCCAAATTTAATTACTAGAACTTACAGAGCTGCCAATGGCATCCATCAAGCTAGCTGCAAGGACAAAATCAATCATTATCAAAATCTTCATCCTTTGGAAGCTGTGAAGTAGAAGAACAAATTAAATACTAGTTAACTTAAACATTAAAACTAAATATTTACACCTGACATCTTAAATTTTATTCAAAATAATTTATTTAACCAATAATAATTTTCTTATAGATTGTAAAGATAATGTATATTTAGGCTTCATTACAAGTGTCTAAAATAGTCTGATCAAGTAAAACTCCAAAACCCAGTAAAAACAGAATTTATCCTTTTAGGCCACTTTGTATCAGAGCTCTCTGTGTATTTTAGGACAGCTATTCAAGATTCAAACCCATGTATGTTATTGTGAAACAAGACAAAAGCAAAGTAACAGTTTAAAATGCTCTGAAAAGCAGGGCAATATTCCTTGTTGGTCCATTAAAGTTGGGAGAAAGCTCTCTGTTACATTGAAGTAATTAAAATCTGAGTTGGGCTAGTTGCCCTTGAACTAAAGATTTGTGCAACTTTTGTGTGCCAGGAGAAGATGGAGACAATTTTACTGTTGCAGAGTAATTTTTGGGAAAAATGCATACTTACCAGCTTTTGTTCTAACGGTGACAAGGATGACATCTTTCAACTGGTAGCTATGCATATTTTGTACTGTATGACCCATAGCATTTTAAATCCCATTATTTCATATGAAAATTATTTCATATGCCAAAACAATCACCATTGTAACTCAATGTTTGCCTTGCAAACATTAGCTGATATAACTTCACGATTTTCTGTAAGGTAGATGTATGCTTTTCAGCTCACAGATGAGAAACCAAGGCCTCCAATTACTGAAATATTTACAAAGATTATACATGAACCAATTCTAAAGATTATACATGAACCAATTCTAAATTGATTAGTTAAACTGCTGCAAGCTATCAACTGAGGAATGTTTCTTTTTTTTTTTTAACTTAAATATATTTTCATTTAGCATATGCTAACGCCTGTTTAAACCAAAATATGTGTCCACTCTGCTTTTTCTACTTATTAAAGTAAATCAGCTAACTACATGTTAAAACATTTGTGGTTAGACAAAGCATAAGACCTATAATAGAGATTAATGATTCAATGTCAGCATGTGCTTACTGAAACACCAACTTTATGGAAATTTCCACTCATGTTTCTACAGGAATTAATATAAAACACCAGTGGAACTTTGGCAGACTGTGCTTTTTACTGTACAAAGATAAGCAAGGTGCTTATGTGAAGTATGTTTTTAAGTTCTTGTAAAATTGGACAAGTCCAACTTTATTTTCACCAACCTCTGAAAACCTCATGCAAGAGTACAAATTACAGCCCAGCCAAATTTCACGTTTTCAACACCTACCTATAAAATACTTAGGATGCTTTTTTAAATTATAGTTATCTTATTTAAGCACCATTTTTTTTATTTTGCATTCTGAGTTCTACTGGTTTGAAAGCATCATATTTGAAAGCATAGAGTTGTGAGGCCCAAGTATATCTGTATAAAGCTCATTATACCACTTCCTGCACTGGACTGATGCAGACACAAGGTGTTGAGGGTACTCTGTACCCATTGACTCATGTTACAGACACCTCAGAAGGTTTTTTTAAGCATTTTGGACATATGCAACACCTACCATTAAGCTGCAAAGCACTATACTAAGCTGATGTCTATCTCTAAGGATACCAAAGGAATCCATTAAAAATGACCTATAAAATATTTCTTGAGTAGAAAGTGTGAACTGCAAAACTTAGGCTAAGTTATTCTATGCCATAAAATTTCTGAATTTTAAGTTGTAAGTTGGTCTTCATGCTAACTACATAAATGTTATATCATTTGAATTAGAAACTTTACCATAATTCAATGCAACAAGTTCTGCTACTGTTTGAAGTGGTGAATCCTATGAATTTTAGGCTTAAAAAAGGAGGGTGGGGGGAAATCTGCAAGAATTGCCTGGCATTGAATTCTGTTATTAATTTGGATTTCAGAGGTTTCTGCCATGATAAAACATGTACTTTCACCTTATGACAGTAGTAATTATGGCTATTGCAGGCACTACTGTTTTGAAAGCAGCTGTTGCCATCTATTGCAATGACACTGTCTGTTGTGGGAGAGGAGTGACCAAAGAGTACATTAGGGATCTGGACAACCTGCAAATGGTCTGTCTCTGATAACTGCTGTCCCGACTCCATGCATATCTTAAATATGTTTTCTAGGAGAGAAGGGACTATATTTTTTTCACTGAAAGATTCATATTTAACTGTTCTGCTTCATTCTTTCTTATTTTCATTATAAAAGCACACTGTTCTCCCTCACATTACTCTTAATATTCAAACTGTTCTATCATGATTTCACTGACTGTGAATGCCTGAATACCGCAATCAATCTTAAAAGGGTTGCACAGCTTTACGACGACAGTATTCTTATTTTTTTTAAAAAGACTATGAAGTAAATCTTGCATACTGTTCAGAGAAATTTGTTAGGGGGAAAAAAAAAATAGAAGACTATCCGGTACAATCAAGGCAGATCATGTCCCTGACAGCATGTGTGAGCTACTATGAGCAAACTGCACAAAAGGAATGAAGCGCTGAGGAGTGTAGTGTGTGCAGTTGGCTTGGTTTGTCATCTTCAGATGAAGTCACCTTTCTATTTAAAGAGTGTCTCTTTCTCAAGCATGTTCCTGTTGTGGCGAACTTCATAAGGGCTGCACTTGGAAGACAACTTTGTGTGTATCAGCTTGAGCACTGAACTAAGATATGCTCAAAAGACATACTGAAATATAGGAATAGTCTCATAAATAAAATTCTAAATGTGATGATTTAAATAGATTGCTCAAGATATTTTAATCCTGGAGTTTAATTTTTAAGAATGGAAGTTGGACAGTAAACCCAAGATGGATTATTGATCCTGTAGTCACTCACAATATGAGCTCACTATGATCGTAAGAGAATTAAGTGGCGTATAAAGAGGGAGAAACCAAGAGCTCCATTTGGCAGACCTGTCAGTCAGAAGCAGGGAAGACATTGAAACAGAGAGGACACAGGAAAAAAACCACAGAGTGGACCTGAAATAGGGGACCAAAATCTTTGTGCTGTTGTCCTCCCAAAAAAGGAGAAAGGTCAAGACGACTAGGAAGAGACATGAAAACTCAAGCTCTGAAAGGAAATGGCTGACCTAACGGTGTTTCTCTGCTTCTGTCACTGCCCAGCAGGGAGACCCAGATAAAGTAGAGGACAGTGAGCAATGCTGATCCTGGAAGGGGCAGTACCTTGTACCTTTGAGCTAATTTCTCAGCAGGTATAAACTCACGCAGTTTATCTGATCCCACAGTGGCAGTGACATGAGATTCACTGAGTGGTCAACCCTACAGTGATAAGAAAAGTGGTAAACAGGGTCAAGTCCCATATATGTTCGAAGAGCTTTGCATACACTAACTGAATCAACAGGTTCAGTCTTGGAATTAATGTGGGTAACTGTTTACTTAGTTTTCCACATTTCTACAAAAACTTTCAGAAAAGGTTGTATTAGTAACAGTTCTCTGAAAGTGTACATCCATGCTTTTTGGTAATACGTAAAGCTAAAGTTCTGTTCAAGGGAAGCTTAAAATCTTGCTCTAGGAAGACTGCTTTGAAAGTCAGTTTCTTAAACTAATTTCTCCACTCATTTAAATATTTACCCTGGTTGTTATATAGCTATTTAAAATGCACTATCCAGAAATGTATGTGGAGGGTAAAATAATTAAAAATGTAGGGAGAGAATACAACTGCTGATAAATATTCACACATAATGCATTGAAAAACATTCACTCCAAAAAACTGCAAAAAAATTACAAATCTTAATCCATGTCACAGATGAAAAGAATTGCGTAACTTAGCAAATATTTTTGTGTTGTTAATGCTAGTGAATCCAAAGAGTTAACAAGTGCTGAGAGACTTCCAAGACTTTCGTTATAACACCTGTGTTGGTTTAACAAAAACAAAAAAAACAGATTTGTGCAGGGGAGATCCCTTTCCAGGAAAATCTTAATCTCAGACAGTAGACATGGATTAATTATCACACATCATATTAGAGTGAGAAAAACTTAGTGTGATATTTTCAAGTTGCAAACACAAGCCCTTAACAGTTAGCTAAAAAAAGAATCACTTTCTGTTTTAATAAAATTGAAGCTTCAGGGCAACTCTTGTGAATCCTTGAAATTTTATCCATGTAAGATTACTCATTTGCTATTCAAAGATTACACCTGGAATATACACTTGCACAGCTGTGCAGAAAGATTTCTCCAAAGCTATGGCATAAAAATTCCAGAAAGGTACTTTTTTCCTTCTCTCTGCCTGGGCTTTCTTCACAGACTACTCAGACAATCAATCCTATGTTCAAATTTCCCCTAAATTCGATGTTTTTCCAAGTCTTCCAATAAGAAGTTACTAAATAGATTTGATGACATTAGAGAAACTCTGTGCTACGAAAATTTTGAACTGTCAGCCTGTTTTCTTGTTCTTCAATTCTGGAGACAGCAAACTAGATGGAATTCAGATGCCTATTTCTGTTTGTACAGTGTCAATAAGAATTGCATTGCTACTAAATACAATAATAATGAGAGAATCTGCCAAAAGGACAGCTAATTACTTGAAAGATTTTTGTTTGCTTTCTTAAAATTTGAACTGGTTTTAACGATTAAACTCATGCATAAAACTCTGCTTTGTTTTAATTAGGTAGTGTTACAAAAATTGCCCCATTTTCCTCATCTGAAAAATGGACAATAATTCATGAATTGATCTACTTTTAGGCTTAAAAAGCAGCCTTGTTCATACAGCCATATGCTATTATAAATTTAGAAACTACAGATTTGAATATGAGGTTTATTAACTAACTAGATATTGTAGCAAAATAGCTAGATCCTGCTAAAACATTCATACATCATTAGCAACATTGCACCAGTTATATGACCTTCAAAAACATATTACTCTTAAACCGTAACTATAGCAATTACCCCAAATTCTTCCTTCTTCCCTCACAGGTACCTAAAATGTTTACCTTTACCCTCTGGACAGAACTCAAAAGTTGTTAAATCTTCTTAAGCTGATGCAAAGAATTCCAGAGCCCTTCCCAGGCTAGGATTGTTTTTGCTATTAAATTCTGTAGAGTTGAGGCTTACATCTGCTATGAGTCACTGCGCAGGAATGTTACTGAGAAAGTTGCAGTTATCAAGACTAAATTGCAACATAAGAAGAAGACAGTAATTCTGTGTCTAAAACAACACTTAGGAAACAAAAATAGACCAAAAATAACAAAGGATCATCCATTCCCTTTCACTGCTCTGATCCAGGAAATTGCTCTCAGCATCCTATTCAGCTATATACTCCGTGCTTCCCTGAATCAGAGCCTAAATCTCTTAGGCTTCAGAGGTATATAGAGAGCATGACCGACTCAACTGATGTAGAAATAAAACATAATCACTCGGACTAGAAATTACGTTAGAGGTGATAAAATAAAATTTAAAAAAACTGCTAAAAAAACCCCCCAAAACACCAAAAAAGTAACATAGTACAGACAAAGCCAAAGAGAACAAGAAAAAAAGGACAAAGAATCTTGTTTGATGTAAGTCAGTATTTTTTAGCTAAATTGGAAGGCACTCAGAAGCACGTGATCTCAGTGACTTGGTTAGACAAAATCACTTTCTATATAAGCTTTTTAGAGCCAGATGAATACATCAAAGAATGTTTTAAAATGCAATTTGTTTAGAGTGTTTGTCCTCCTTCTATGTTGGCTCTTCCCAAAAGTTCAATAAATGCGTATGCTTAAAGGAGTACTTCTGGAAGATGTGAACTCTTAAGGAAATATTGAACAAAAGCAGTAAAAGGGGTTTTACATTCCACAATATAAATATTCACACCATCAACTTCCTTTTGAAGACTAACACTTGTTGCACACTTCCTCTGAATAATTTCTGGTGTATTATTTGGAATCTGTTTACCTGGCAGTATTTCTTTTTACTAATTACATTACATCAACTAATTAACTTCATATTCTGAACTTCAAATATTTAATAATTGCAATAAATTTCTCATGAGTAGCCTACTCTAAGAATCATTCAAATATTCAAAATCATTCAGCAAGTCATTTTTACTGGGAATCTTACTATGACTAATGACTTTTGCAAGGAGGGAGATGATACCTGTTCACAGCGTGACTCTTAACTCTTAACTGATTGTTACTCAGTGGGTGAGCTCTGAATTTAGAAAGTGGAAAAAAGGCATGGCATTTTAAACTCAGATTTATTAACCATTTAAACAATTTATTGAGGGTTACAAGTAGATTCTCCATCACTTGAAGTCTTTAAACAAAAACTAAATGGCTAAAATATATGGCTGTGGTTCAGTTAGAGAAGAATTATAAGCAGCATCAGGTCAGAGATTTGTGTTATTCAAGAAGTCTATAGGCTACCCAACATCAGAATGATTTTGCAAGAATAAACATACTAAATAGAAGGCTCTCAAAGAGTATACAAACGGAAGTCATATACGCACAAAAGGAAGAGAGAAAGGTCTTTCTTAGACCTGTTGGATGCATCCAGTACTGAAAACTGGCAGATGTCATAGACCTTAACGCAGCCAGTAAAGATCTGGCTGTTGACCCAAATCTTATTCAGATTTGCTGCTCTTGGGACAGTATGCACAGAAGTGAAGCAAAATATGGCCAGGATCATTAATCACTCTTTTATCAGTTTTTTGACAAAAGAAGGTATAAAGGATAAAATGCTGTTCCCCACTTCTACACTAAGTCGTTTATTACTTCCTATAAGCAAGGTAAAAACAGTCAGTTGTATTAAATCCATCATATCTTTTGCGGATGTTTAAAAGAAATAGCTAGCACAAGTGGTCTTTGTTCCTATTATATTAGCACTTTCAGATGAGTACGTCCCCAGACATTTTATCTGACAGAAGTTTAACAGCTTTGGGCAATCCCAGATACAGATACAGGCTGGGCCATGAGCAGCTTGAGAGCAGACCCGCAGAGAAGCACTTGGTGGATGAAAAACTAAATATGAGCCGGCGATGTGTGCTTGCAGCCCAGAAAACCAACTGCATCCTGGGCTGCATCAAAAGAAGCGTGGACAGCAGGTTGAGGGAGGTGATTCTGCCCTCTGCTCCACTCTGGTGAGACCCCACCTGGAGTACTGCATCCAGCTCTGGGGCCCCCAACATAAGAAAGACATGGGCCTGTTGGAGCGAGTCCAGAAGAGGGCCACGAAGATGATCAGAGGGCTGGAGAACCTCTCCTATGAAGACAGGCTGAGAGAGTTGGGATTGTTCAGCCTGGAGAAGAGAAGGCTCCGGGGAGGCCTTCCAGTACTTAAAGGGGGCCTACAGGAAAGATGGGGAGGGACTCTTTATACATGGGGAGGGAGTGTAGTGATAGGACGAGGGGTAACAGTTTTAATCTGAAAGAGGGTAGATTTAGATTAGATATTAGGAAGAAATTCTTTTCTGTGAGGGTGGTGAGATACTGGAACAGGTTGCCCAGAGAAGTTGTGGATGCCCCCTCCCTGGAAGTGTTCAAGGCCAGGTTGGACGGGGCTCTGAGCAACCTGGTCTAGTGGAAGGTGTCCCTGCCCATGGCAGGGGGGGTGGGAATAGATGGTCTTTAAGGTCCCTTCCAACCCAAACCATTCTATGATTCTATGATCAGCAAACACAAGATAATGCGTTCATAAGATCATCCTTTTATCATTCAGACTCAAAAGAAGTTGCAAGCACACAAGAAGCTTTCATAGTACAAGGAACCACCGTTTTTTCCCTGATAAGCTGTAACGCAGGTGTTAAGTACCATTTATAAAATATAAAGCTTTACTTTTTCTCATGTGTATGATTTTTATCCAGGAAAGTTTTAAATCACCTTCAGCTGTCACGTAGAAATATGGAAGGGTCAAAGATTGTACACCACAGCATGGTAACTCTGCATTTGTCAAAATGTACTTTCATTCCATCTGTTACAAATTAATTTGTTTATGCTCTTCTCTGCATTGTTTTAGTTTGTGTAATGCTAAGGGTAAAATAGAAAACATGTAATGGACTCCATTTAGGATTGGCTGAAATCACATATTTGAAAATGTGCATTCAGCATTGTATATCCAACAAGATGATAATTAAATGGTCTTTTGCATATGCTAAACAGTAGCAATAATAAATTGAAAATACCTTTAAATGGAATATGCTGTTTGGTTTCGTTAACTTAGACACTAGGCTTTTTTTTTGGGGGGGGGGGACGGACACGACACGACCCAACCAAAAACCCACACAAAAACCCAACCTGACTAACTCCATCAAAATTATGATGTCTGAGTAAATTTGACTTTGGGGTTTTTATTTTTTAACATATAAAATAGTAGCAATGTGTTACTTCCATAATAATACTTTGTTACTGAAACAGAACAGAGCTGAAATCAAAGATAAGCCAAACTCAGCTTTATGACTAAAAATCTCTGTATCTCCATGTTTTTAAAGGTAGCCTCCTTTCCAAAAGTAAGTGTATTTTTTTTTATAGACTGACTTAAGAATTGCATGGTATGTTTACAAGAAAATCCGGTTAAGCAGTTATCGTAACTGACAATGTGCCAGTTACCAGAATACTATTATATCTTCCCATTGTAAGTGTATTCCACAAATAAAAGCATTACCTAAGAGCTTCACACACATAATGCTGTGGGTGTTTGCATAGCTGACTGACATGTTAAATGGCTTCCAACGTTCCAGGGCAGACTACTGATGAAAGCGAGTACAACTCTATCTGCTTGAGTGGAGTTACTTTAGATTGTTCAACAGTTCACTTCAACTGTATTTACATAAGAGGTGGCCCACATATTCAAGAGAATAAAATTATCAAAAAGCTACACTGGATTTAGTCAACAGTTAGGATTGCTGTAAAAAATTATATCCACTAAGCTTTTGAAAGTTAAATATAGTTATTAGCTGTTAATATTTTATGTTTATTTGGAGACATATCGAAAAACAAAGTATGTCATACTTCTGCATTAATAGATTCTCAAGGTTCATTCTTACTAAAGGAATTTGGCATTTCAGGATTTGGAATAATCTGTATCAGTTTAACATGAGTCCTACTTAGTCAAATGACAGCAACTCTCTTCTGTGGACTGTCATTTATATACAAGAAGCTTGCACCAAAGTGTTAAAATAGCTACAAAACAAGATCAAATTAAAGTGACATGCTTTTGGCAGTACAAGTCCCTAAAGTTCATGAGATGTTGATGATGGACCTCCTTGACGCAATCCCGGTTATTCACAGGGAAGCGTATGAAGAAGTCCTGTTATACACAGGAACACAACAGAAATCAACAAAAGGAAGCAGCATCATTGTTCACTATTCCAATTCTCCACTTACTCAGTACTACCTTTTTCTGAGGGTTACTGATTTTTTTGTCTCTCTCTAGGACATTGTTGCCTTCTTCCTGTATTTCAGTTTTCTGCTTCTTTCATTCCACTGACATGCATAGTTCCATGAGGTAATATCCCGTGTCACTGCAGTAGTCTTCAGGCAAGCTACGTCAGTGTACATGATCCACCACAGGCTTCAGTCTTTCAAGCAGACAAAGGCCATTAATGTTTCACTTGCCTATTCCTTTAAGGAATATTGTGCCCTTGCTTATGCGTGACAGTTAGCCATCTCTCTCATACAATTTATTAGTAATATTTTACTTTTTCAATGTTGGATGAGTTAGAGTACTACAAGCCAATATTTTGCTTACTTTTGGACAAATAAGAAACTTCAGAAAGTTTTGAAGTTCTTGATTCTTTTAACATGCTGTCTTCAAAATGCTTGCCACAATCCTAACAAAAGCAGTGGTAGAAACAAATTATGCCAAAAATACAGAAGTCTATCTATATATGAAGATTTCACCTACTATATAATTACATTGCACAGAGCGACCACAGACTATGACTGCAACCTGAACCATATGAATAACAGATCTCTAAAACTTGCATAATTGCATGATGAAGTTGAAGTGTTAGGGCAATAAATGTAATTCCCTGATAAGGCCAAGAGATAAGCAGAAAAGAACTTCCTACTTATTCTGAAATGACAGAATGAATGCACTTTAT